CTGGAAAAAAAAAAAAGCATGTATTCATGACACACTTTTAAGCTTAATCTGCATTATTAACATTTTCCTCTCATTTTCTTAAGACTAGGGTGAGAAAGATGGAAGATGAATTAACATATATAAAGCACACACTACATGCCAGGTGTTGTGCTAAACACTTTAAAAATACTCTCATTTGATCCTTACATCACCCTGAGAAGTATTATTGTTATTCCCATTTTCTAACGGAGAAAACTGTCACAGACAGAGGTTAAGTGACTTGCCTAGGGTCACACATCTAGTAGATGTCTGCGGCTGTATTTGAACTCGGCTATAACTGACACCAGGCCTAGCATTTTATACACTGTGTCACCTAGATGCCCCCAGACTATCAACAAAACAATAAGCCGGGCCCAGATGGACAACACTTGCCAGTTTCCAGGTGTAAACGCTCACACTGAAAAGCTGGAGGTCCCAGCTAGTGCACCCTTGGGAGCCACTATTATACCAGTTAACCTGGGCTCACAACCCTCTTTGCTCTCTTCGACCCTTCCATATCCAAACAGTTTCCAAGTGCTGCCATTTCTACCTTCACAACATCCCTCAAATATCACTCTTCTTTCTTATGGAACTGCCCCCACCCCTTCATGCCTTAACCACTGCAAGAGCCTCCTGCTGGGCTGGCCTCAGGGCTCTTCCCACTTCAATCCATCCTCCATCCAGCTGCCACATCATTTCCCTATTCAATCAACTCCAGTGGCGCCTATTGCTTCTACAATCAAATACTTTTTCGGGCCTTTAAAATCCTCCATAGCCTGGCGTCTTCCTATCTTTCTGGGCTCACACTCCTCCCCCACCTCTCCCCATACACTCAAGTATCTAGTAACAGTGGCCTTCCTGCTGTCCCTCTCAAGAGACTCCATCATCTGAAGCTGGGCATTTTTAGTGGTCATCTAGCACGCCTGAAACTCTCACCCTCATCTCCATGACTTACCTTCCTTTGCTTGTTTCAGGCCTTAGCTGAGAATTCCTGCTTCTTCAAGAAGTCATCCTCAAAACCTTCCTAATGCTGGTGCCTTCCTTCTGTTAATTATCTCCAACTTACCTTACACATATCTCACTTGGACATAGTTGTTTCCATGTTATCTCTCTCATACTGAAAAGAACTTGAAAGCAAGGACTGCCTTTTGCTTAGCACAGTATCCAGCACACAGTTGGCACTTAATAAATGCTAGTTAACTGACTATAACACACTACTCCTCATTTCTCTTAGTTGGCACAATCAGACCTGCTGCACGATCAGACTTTCATCTTAGGAAAATCACTTTAGTGGCTAAATGGGGGATAGACTGGAATGCGGAGAGACTTGAGGGAGGCAGATCCACCAGCAGGCTACTGCAATAATCCAGGTGTAAGGTGATGAGGGCCTGTACCAGTGGAATGGCAGTGTCAGAGAAGAGAAGGGAGTGTATTTAAAGGTGCTGAGTAGGTGAAACTGACCGGCCTTGACAACAGATTGGATATTAGGGGTAAGAGATACTGAGGAATCCAGGATGACTCCTAGGTTGTTAACCTGAAGGACTATGAGGATGGTGTTGCTCTCTATAATGACAGGCAAGGTAGGGGTGAGGGAGAGTTTAGGGGGAAAGAAAATGAGTTCTGTTTTAGACATATTAAGTTTAAGATGTCTACAAGGCAGAAGATCTGTAGAGATGTTGAGGCAGCAAAGGCAGATTTGAAAATTACTGGCATAAAGATGGTAATTAAATCCATGGCAGCTGATGAGATCACAAAGTGAAGCAGTATAGAGGGAAGAGAAAAAAGGACCCAGAACAGAACTCTAAGGGACACTTACATTTGGAGGCTGTAATCTGGAGAACATCTAGCCAAGGAGATAGAGTAGGAATGGTGAGAGAGGTAGGAGGAAAACCAGTAATGTACTGAAAATGAAGAGAAGAGAGTATCCTGGAGGAGAAAGTGATCAATAGTGTCAAAGTCTGTCTAGATGTGAGGAGAATGAACATTGAGAAAAAGCCACTGGATTTGGTAACTAAGAGATCAATGGTAACTTTGGACAGAGCAATTTCAGTGGAATAAGGTTGGAAGCCAGATTGTAAAGGGTTAAAAAGAGAGTGAGAGGACAGTGGAGGTACCTATTGTAGACAACCTTTTTGTGAAGTTTAACTAAAAAGGGCAGTCCTAGGTATAGGACAATAGTTAGCAAGCATAATGGAAGGATCAAGTAAGGGTTTTTTCAGGATAGGAGAGACATCGGCATTTTTGTAGGCAGTAGGAAACAAGCCAGTAGAGAGGGAGAGATTGAAAATAAGCAAGAGAGCGGGAATGACAGGGGGTGCACTCTGACTGGCAGGCAGAGCAATCCTAAAAGCCTCCCTTCATAGCGGGCTCAGAAACTTCATGCCAGAATCTTTATTTTCTACCAATAGCTCTGCTTGGTTTCAGCTCTGCAAACATCATGTCCCTATGCCAAACATCCTCCATCCCTCCTTTCAGATTTTTAGTGTACATTTGTGTACTGTATTTCTCCATTAGACTCTAAGGTCCTTGAGGGCAGGAACAATCTTCCTTTTTCTTATTTGTATGCTCAGCACTTAGTATGGTGCTTGGCACATAGTGAGAGCTTGATAAACGTTTATAAACTATTGACTCTTGTTCTCTCTCAGATCCTCCCTTGTCAAACTCTAAAGTTGAGTTACTCATACTACCCATAGGTTTCATTCCATTTCGTGAACTGCTGACAGGGCTGGAGGAAGTCACAACACCATGTTGATTGGTTTCACAACTAATTTATGATATTTGATATCAACTGGGCCTAAAGTAGAACAAGGCAAACAATCCATTCCTCCACAGTGGATTTGCTTTCCCACTCTCCATAGTGGCTTTTCTATATATTCTTGTCTCTCCTCAAGCCTCCTTATAAGCACCCCTGCCCCAACCATTTCATTGGGGACTTCACTTCATACTTAATAGGAAAAAAAAAAAGAAATCATTAGCCACAAGCTCCACCCCACCTCCTTCTTCCAACCTCCTCACATCACAACATTCAGACACATTGGGTCACTGCTGCTCCTTCACCTACCCATATGGCCGAAAGTAATATCTATAACATGTACTCATGAGTCTACCTTTTTTTTTTCCTGTCTCCTACATTGCCACCTCTATTATACTCACTTTCACTAATTTTCAATCTCTACTTCTCAGATGGCTCATTCCCTGATGTCTACAAACACATCCAGGTTTCCTCCATACTTAAAAAAACCCTCACACGATTGATCCATCACCACTAGATATCACCCCACATGTCTGCTCCACTATTGTCTAAACTTGAGAAGGCCATCTATAACAAGTGTCTGCACTTCCTTTTCTCTCCCTCTCTTCTTAACTCTCCGCATACTGGCTTCCAACTCCATTATGGTACTGAAAGTATCTCCTCCAAAAGGATCAATTATTGGGGGGAATCGAACGGCTGATCTGAGGGGGATTGCAGGGATCTCTTTGCTGATGCTGAGGCAGGAATCTCTTGCTTTGCCAGTGCTTGGATCTGGGTCACAGTTCTGGTTGACCTGGTGGAGCTTGTAGTGGCGGTAGAGAGAGAATCCTTCTCACAGTCCCAAGGCAGAAAGGAGTGTCTGTGGTCACTCACAGACCAGAGCACAGGCCAAGAAAGGAGTAAACACCTCACCCTTGATCCTACCACCTTGGAAGAACTGAAAATTTACAGGTCCTTAGAAGTATCTCTGAAAACAGCTACACAAAACCTCCACAGCTCGGACAGTACATTCTCCACACTGGAAGCAGACCCCTACCTTAACAAAGAGTTTAAAACTCAAGTAACTGGCTGGGAATGTGAGCAAGCTGCGCAGAAAGACTCAGACCATAGAATCTTTCTTTGGTGACAAAGAAGATCAAAACATACAACCAGAAGAAGACAACAAAGTCAAAGCTCCTACATCCAAAGCCTCCAAGAAAAATATGAATCAGTCACAGGCCACAGAAGAGCCTAAAAAGGATTTTGAGAAGTAAGAGAAGTAGAGGAAAAACTGGGAAGAGAAATGAGAGTGATTGAAGAAAATCATGAAAAAGCCAACAGCTTGCTAAAGGAAACCCAAAAAAATACTGAAGAAAATAAAACATTAAAAAATAGCCTAACACAAATGGCAAAAGTGGTCCAAAAAGCCAATGAGGAGAATGCCCTAAAAAGAAAAATTGGCCAAATGGAAAAGGAAGTCGAAAAGCTCACTCAAGAAACTACTTCCTTAAAAATTAGAATGGAGCAAATGGAAGCTAATGACTTTATGAGAAATTAAGACATTGTAAAACAAAACCAAAAGAATGAAAAAATAGAAGACAATGTGAAATGTCTCACTGGAAAAACAACTGACCTGGAAAATAGATGCAGGAGAGAGAATTTAACACTTATTGGACTATCTGAAAGTTATGATCAAAAAAGAGCCTATACATCCTCTTTCAAGAAATTATGAAGGAAAACTGCTCTGATATTCTAGAATCAGAGGGTAAAATAGAAATTGAAAGAATCTACCAATCACCTCCTGAAAGAGATCCCCAAAGGAAAATTCCTAGGAATATTATAGCCAAATTCCAGAGTTCCCAGGTCAAGGAGAAAATATTGCAAGCAGCCAAAATGAAACAATTCAAGTATTGTGGAAACACAGTCAGGATAACACAAGATTTAGCAGTTTCTACATTAAGGGACTGGAGGGCTTGGAATATAATATTCCAGAGGGCAAAGGAGATAGGATTACAGCCAAGAATCACCTACCCAGCAAAACTGAGTATAATCCTTTAGGAGGGAAATGGATATTCAGTGAAATAGAGAACTTTCAAGCATTCTTGATGAAAAGAATAGAAAATTCAACTTTCAAACATAAGACTCAAGAGAAGTATGAAGAGGTAAACAGCAAAGAGAAATTATAAGGGACTTATTAAGGTTGAACTGTTTACATTCTTGCATGGAAAGATGATACTTGTAACTCATGAGA